CTTACCGCAGGAACCGACCTTCTGATTGGCTGCGGCGCGAAGTTGACTTCTGGTTCTGAATTTGACTCCAATGATGTCATTGTTTGAAAGTGATCGTCTTCCGATGATGTTTCCGGCGGCGCCTCCTCCGCTCCCACGTTTGATTCCGGCGGTGGGTGTGGTTCCAACGGCTGCGTTTCAGCCGCTGGAGGACTATTATCAGCAGCCGGCGTTTCAACAGCAGGTTCTACCGGAGGAGTGATCTCAGTGGTCGGCGTTTCAACAACGGTTTCTACTGGAGGAGTGATCTCAGTGGCTCGTATTTCTACGGTGGGCTCTGCGGCTATCAAGAATACGAAGAAATTAGCTTAAGATTTTGAATTCAACGGTCATTTAAACGTGGAATTAAACTAATGAGAATTTATTGGAGGTCGCGATTGAAAATTCTGTAACCTTGAGTATATATAAAAAGGAATTCAAAAAAGTATCTTTTTATAGAATAATTAATCAATTTTTTTATAAAATAATTATCGAATTTACTGACCAGCAAAGGTTGTAAGTTCGAATCCTTAACTCTTACTAAAAAAATTTATAAATTTAGTTACCTTGTACGGGTCAAATTAAATAATAATTTTGAGATAGAAGAGGTTTTATATGTTTGAAGGAAAAAGATTAAAGGGAGGTGTTGAATTTTTACTCCTCAATTGAGATGGGGTGAGGCAATTTTAATCTTGTATTTCCAATTTCATTCATTTAAAGCCGGAACTTATCACAAAAATAGGTGTGGTAATTAATACTACAAAATTAAATTAGAAATTCATGTGTGAATCAACCAATAAATCTTGGTTAAAAAAAAAAAAAATTCAACTAAACAAAACATCCATATCATGTAACATGAAAATATCCAAATTTAACATAGTAATAAAATAATCACAAAAAAGGTTTTAACTAATGAAATAAAAAATTCAAGATTCAAATTAATTTACTTATGGTTACAGACAAAAACCAAGTTTAGGATTGTGAGTTGGAATCCTTATCTAACTTATTATATTAAAAAGAAAAATTTATAAATAAAAACGAAAAATTTTATCGGATCAAATTTACAATATAGTCTATCTCCTTAAATTTTAATATAGTCTATCTCCTTTCCTTAAATCTATCTCCTTTCCTTAAATTTTAATATAGTCTATCTCCTTAAATTTTTTAATTTGAGTTACCTTGTTGTTCGACTGGAGCCAATTCTTCCGTTTCTTTGGAAGCCAATGGTAGTTGTGGCGGCTCAGATTCCGTGGTTGGTGATGGCTCCTCCACACCATCAACGGTTGCAACCGCCGGTGGTGGTGGAGACGGTGGCGGAGCAACCCCATCGGAATAATAAATCCTCAAACCAATCTCCCCTTGGACCCAACTAAAGAGGCTCTTCTTCTCCAAATGAAAATAAATCAAAGCCTCCTCACCCCTCCTCACAAACTGCGTGGAACTCAGCCTGATCCGTCCCAAAAAGTTGCTCCGCCGCGTCTGACCGTAGCTCCGATCATGGTTCACATCGAGCTCCAAAACATCTCCAAACACGCTCGATGGTGGCCCGACATTAAACTCGAGAACCTCGTTCCATGTCGGGTTCAAGTCCCGAACTGCAGTCTGGGTCCGCTTCCGCTGGCCGTGGTAGTCGACGATGACATAAGGACTTGAAGTTCCATGGCCATCTTTTGGCAAGAGATTACGAGCATCCACGACTTCCACGATCAGCTTCTTCACGTGCCCGGCCGTGGCCATGGTAAAAGACAGCTCTTTCCGGTGACCGGCGGGAATGAAAATAGTGGAGCTTTTAATGGGAAGGAGGAAAATGAAGATGGAAAGATGAAAGATTATATTATTATATATTACAAAGTTTTTAAAGGTGCTTAACTTCATGGGCAAGCAGCTTTATTCACACACACTCTCTCTTTTCACGTCTTCTCTAGTGATCTTTTTTACTTTACTTAATGAAGGAGAAATTTATGATATATCATATGGAACTTTCTAGAGTTTCATAAATATAGAGTAGTAGCTTATATATAAAGTACATAGATACATATACATATTAAATTACAAGTTTACCCTCTAAATTTTTAAGCGTTGGTTAATAGATTTTTAAGAATAATACTTAGTTGCTTAATTATTAGTCTTATCCTAATAAAAAATTAATAGTTTTTTTATTGAAATGGTTGAAATACATCTTTTTAATATCTATATCTATTGCTTGTCAAAAATTTGATAGGATAAGCAAAATATAAGTGCTGACTAATAAGTATCCAAGTAATTTTCGATTCTTAAACTTTAACAAGTGTCCAATATGTTTCTAAACTCTTAATTTGGGTCTAATAGGGTTTCTAAGGTGTCCCAAACCTGAAATTTCATTATGCATCTATTAGGTTTTTAACCTTTTCAATTTGACGTCTTATAGATTCTTGACCAATAATTGATCAATATAATTTTTAATTTATAGATATACTAGACTCAAATTGAAAGTTTATATAGTTCTATTAAACATTACATTCAATTTTATGTTTAATAGATCTGTTAATTTTAAAAAACATCGAATAGGTCGAAGACATATTGGACACATGAAAGTTCAAGAACTTTTTTTTTAATATTTCAATTTAGTCCCTAATTTTTAATATTTTTCAGTTATACAAGCACTAACGATAATTTTTACCTGACATGTACTTCGTGAGTTGGTAGAAATTTAAAAGATACTTAAGCTATCGGAGAGAAAAAAGTTTCTAATACTTCCTCCAAATTTATAAGAAATTAGCATAAAATTCAACTTTTCTTCTTTCGTGTGGTCTCTAGTACCTGACTAAGTATCGTACCAAATAAATTTATAATCCATCGTTTTCAAGGGATAGCTTGAGTGGCTTGGGGCTTCAAGGAATATCCTTGAGGTCTTAGGTTAAAGCATGAAACGACAGCTCCACTAAGCAATGACTCCTTAGGTATGTACATATATGGAGATACTATTTATATCCCAGGTATAGGGGCATAAAAGCCAATGGGTCGCTGACACCTAAATAATAATAAAAAAAATTATAATCCACCAATTTTAACATTCATTCTAAATTCACATGTTATATTAATCATTTAAAAAGTATAGGGTTTGATAAATAAGTATTATATTCTATTTAATTATCAAGAAAATACTTTATCTAGTTAAACTTAATAGTTATAAAAAGAATATTAAAAAGAAATTATGTTTTATAACTTCTAAAAATAATGTTAAGAAAACCAAACTAATACCTATTTAATTATGTAAGGTATTCTAGGTTGCAACTTTTTCAATTCCATAGAGATTCCGTTCACTTTAACATAAACGAACCAAACTTATTAAACTTTCTAAACTTTTATAAAGTTTTATAATTTCTTTAATGCTAAAATCAGGTTATTAAATTTTTGTCTAAACATTTCCATTGACATTTATATATGTTTATGAGTTCGACATCCACATAAAAGGTGAATTGACGTTTTCATAGCATCGTAAAAAAAAGATAAAATTTAAACAAAATATTAATAGTAATAAATTTTAAGAGAAGAATGTTTATTTGTTAGTTTAAATATTCTTTATGAACTCTTTATTTATGGACAAAAATATTTCAGTACATGAAACCTTCACTAAAACAATAGATTCCTGAACTTTAATTATTAAAATTTTTTAAATAAATGTAACGTAGCACTAGCATCACTTTTTTATAGTTTCAACGACATTTGGAGATGGAAATTCGAACATCTGATTTTTTAATCGATGATGTATATTTTAACTAGTTGAGCAACGTAGCAATCACTTTTACGGACCGTTTGATATTATTTAACAAAGATGGATAGATGGGTAATGAAAATGAGTCAAAAAGGAGGTACCTTTTTTTTATCCAAAAACAGCTTTAGTTTTGTGTCACACACCGACCATTAAACATTGTTTGACATAGATGTTAGTCACACCACCACTAAAATGTAACTTTCCCAAACTTCTATAAATGTGAGATTTTTAATATTTGTATAAAGTATATTCACTAATATGGGCTATTCTCAACTATCAATTACTTAATATGGTAGCTCATTGTCATATAGTCCAACCAGTTTCATAAACAAGAGAGCCAAATGCTATCGATTATTATGTCTATGTTATGCTTGGTGCAACTCGACCCAAACTCGAGCAAGGTATGATTCTAATTGGCTATCACGGTTAGAAAACAAAAAAACATTATTATAGGATCTATGCATGAGAGTAGGCCAAATAACTCTAAGTTATTTCGAATTATCTGGATCCATGAGTTGGAATGAGTCGAGATTCCAAAATTTCTGTAACAATATTTGCATGGTTTGGGTCATCCTCAATTATGCACCTGAGATCGAAGATGGACAATACTCTTTATTAGATGGGAACTAGGAGACTAAAGAGACATAGTATATTGGGGACCATAACCCTGTATTTATAAGTTGATTCTAGAAATGCTCTAGAATCAACAGGTTGGTATCTGTCCCGTGGACCATACTATAGATAGGAAGTTTATAGACCTTAACTAGACCACTTATTTTACCATATAATTTATCATAAATTATTACTCATTTAATGAATTAATTTAATTAATTCCAACAATTACTCCAACAAATTCAAATTTTTTCAATGCATAAACTTATCGACATAACGGCATATTTTGTTGCTAAAGCTCTTTTATGATAAACAATTTTCATTGCCAATTTTGTGGTGTAGAATTGTTGAGACAATCTTGTACCAAAAAGAATTCCTTATTTCATTGTCATAGATATATTTGCTGACGAAATATATGTTTTTGAACGAGGTGACGAGTTGATTTCCGACCTGAATCTTACACTGGTGTGGTGCTCAATTACTACATTTCAAGGCTTAAGTTAGTATTTAATTCGAATCGATTTCGAGTCGAGATTAATAARGTTGCTTAGAGATTGCACGTTAGGAAATATCGACCCTAGCTTTTATACGGAGCTTTGGAAAGCGTTAACACTTGTTGAATTCTAATTATATGTTTAAGCTGTCCTTCATGATTAAGCTTTGTCAAATTCATCTCCCACTTGTTAGTTGCCAATCACACGTTAATATTGTTGGTCCATTTGATTAAGTACAATCTCACCTTAAGCTTTGTTTTAGTCTTTATAATTTTTCAAATGTCTTGTTTTAGCTCTTCTAACTTTCATGTCAGTTATTCTAATTCTTAAATTCTTGCATATATACTTATTTAATCATTGTCATTAATTTTTCACAAATTATTTAACATAAATATAACTATGTAATTCAAATAGGCTTGAAATTTTTATCAGTAGGCACATCGATAAAGAAACATATGCTTAGGTTAGGTTTTTATATTTAAAAAAATTAATATAAAATCGATCACACAACTTCAAATATTAGGTAGAGTTAAATTAAAAAGAAAAAAAAACAAGTTTTAAATCTCATTTTAGTTCTTAAAATTTTCTAACTGATTTTATTTTTATTTATAAACCTTTTAAATGTCTATTTTAATTTTTGAACTAAATAAAGTATCATTTTGGTTATTGACTTATCAAAATATAATTTTAGTCATTCAACTTTCAAAAAGTAATTATTCTGATTATTATTATTATATTTCACCTTAATATTCACCCACTTAAAACTCATATTAGCATATTAATTCCACTCATTTTAAGGTTCACACTATCCAATTATTAATTCACAGTGAAAGTCAATTAAAAAAAAAGGTCTAATGGCGAAACCATAAATTTTACATTTTCAGAACTAAAATGAAGTAGTTCTCAAATATTAACAATTAAAATATACATTTTAAAAGTTTTTTAACCAAAATAAATAATTCATAAAAATTTAGGGAAAAAAAAACGAAGGAGATTCTTTTCGGCGGTGTTGAGAGCAAAACGCTGCCGTTTCATATTTCGATTTCAGATCCGAGCAAGAAATTGGGTCGAAGAAGAACCCCGAAGATTATCCGAAGATCGAGAAGACGAAATCCGAGACTGAGACTGTAAACTCCATTATCAAGAAATTGGGTTTTTTGGAGCTTCAATTTGATTTTTACTTGATGGAGGAGTTGCGATCCGCAATGGAGGAACATATGGACCAAATGGCGGATCTGATTCACAAATTATCCTCCGAACTCCGATCCGGTCTTCGTCCCGCCGTCGATAATTTCATCGGTTTCTTCCACGCCATTGGCTGGAAGGTACTCCCCTACTCTCTCCTTTTAGACCACATGAAATTTATTTATGTTTCCTTTGGAGTTTGTTTTTCAATCTGGAACTGTGTGAATTTAAGTATTCGAAATCAAATTTGTTTATATGTTTCAACGTTTTGCAGGAACCTTGGTTGATGGGGTTACTGGGTTTTCATGCCTTGTTGCTGATAATCACTATTGTTACCAGGAAGCGTACCAATTTCCAGATGTTCTTGTTCCTTCTTGCACGTATGATTATTACTTCCATTTGCTCTGTATCTGTGCTTTTGCAATGTTGAAATGTTTTGTTGCTGTTCTGTTCATATTGCATCCTCTTTACTGGCGAAGTAGTAAGATTTGGTCTAGCCATCTAGGTTATGAAAATTTACTACTTTTTGAGCTTGGAGACGAATTCTGAGGTTTAATTATCTTTTGGGAATTATTGCTGTGTTCACATTGCAATCAGAGAATTATATTTGCGAACTGGAATTTATGTTGGTGATCAATGTTTCATATACTTGTGTAATTTCCAACCTTCAGATATTTGTTTAAACTTTAATCCTGTTGTATTTCTGACTATTGTAAATTAATTGATCTCTCTATTTTTCAATCTCATTCTGCTTGTTGTAGAAAGTATAAGGTGGAAGATCAAATGTTTTAAATGTCATTTCCTTCACATTCAGTTCATGTTCACATTTTCATATATTGAGAATGGCCTACCCTTTCAGGGAGAAGAAATCCTTTTTGCATACAACAAAAATTCTTTCATGCTTATAATTTCAATGTTAATACATGCCTGTGGATACAGTTTATATTAACATTTTATAGGTTCATATGAAGATTTGCATTAATTTCTCAATTCTCATTTTAAGAGGTCCTTTTTGCAGTGGCTGGTGTATACTTTGCTGAAAGAATCAATAGAATCCTGAGCAAAAACTGGAAGAATTTTGCCACCCAGAACTATTTCGATCCAAATGGAGTTTTCCTATCGACACTCTGGTCTGGGCCGCTGCTTGTAATTTCGATGATAATCCTGGCAAGTGCTTGTGGTTACTTGTTTTTCTCAAGCCCCTAATAGACCCCAACATCTCCAATCACTCACTCTTGAATGAAATTGCTTTTCGTTTTCTGGTTTAAGAACATCTAACTGAACTCTCTCATTTCTGTATGGCAGATAAACACACTCTTGACTTTATGCTTTCTAGTGGTTAGATGGAAAAGAGCCGAGCTTCAACACCGTGCAAGACTTTCGCAGAGTAAAGAAGATTAACCCCCAGAAGTGAAGTTTCTTTAGCTTTAATGTCTTTTGCTGATAGTTTGTAGCTATACCATATCCTTTACTGAGACTATTAGACTGATACGAGCAGAATGTGAGGAGCGGTTTTGTTTACACCTTTTCTCTTATTTATTGAATAGCCTACGTAGATATTATTGTGATCAAACTTTATACCACATTCACTTCATATAGCTTGAATTTCACCATTGAGTAGTCTTTTCAGTTATTTACTTTAAAAACGACATTTCAACATCGATACAGACGATAAAATGTAGATGGAATGCTGAAAATGTTGATGCCCTAGGTCAGTTGTTAGATCACCATGAGAGCTTACACCATTTTTGACCAACTTGGATCATTTGCAATTACTTTTCTACTTTTACGTAGGGGTGTTCACGAATTAGAAGGATTTTAGGGACCAACCCGAATTTTTGGGTTGATGAAATATTGTAACCCGAAAGACCCGAAGATAGTCTGCAACCCAACCCAACCCTTATATTTTTGGGTCGGGTCAGGTTGGGTTCTCGGGTTGCTAAGAAATTTTGTGCAGAAGAGACCAGAGGGAAGAAATTGGGAGATCGGATCCCAAAACCCAGAAATTCAACAAGCACCATGTTCATCAACATCCCCACAATCTCCAAGTTCATCGTCACTCCCAACATTCTCCGTCGTTATCAAATGCGAAGGAATTCGGCCCTCCTCCTCCCGAAATCCGGCGACACCCTCTCCGACGACTTAGAGATCCAAATCGAAGCCTACGTCACTAGAGAGAAATCGAAATCTCCCAAATCAAAAAATCTAGAAATTAGTGAGATGAAGAAGATGAGGGAATCGAGATGGCTAACAAATGAGAGGGAAGGAAGGGAAGAAGAGGAGCGGAGATGAAGGAAGGGTGAAGGAAGGGAGACGAGGGAGGGAGTGAGAACATGAAAGAGATGGGAAACGGAGACGAGGGAGGGAGTGAGAACATGAAAGAGATGGGAAGAAGATGAGTGAGAGATGATGGAAGGGAGACGAGGGAGGGAGTGAGAAGAAGAGAGGGAGGGGAAGAAGATGAGTGTGGAAGGAGGTGACTACCAAAAAAGAAAACCCTAATTGATAAGGGGACGTTTGTTTTTTGGGAATGTAGATGCCTGACATTTTCACATGCTTGGAATATCATATGCCTGAAATTTTAAGGATATTTGGGAATATTTTTGATAACCATGTTTGTTTTGCAGGATTTATTCATGGGAATATTGTAAATTTATGTAATTTTCCAAAAATGCCCTTAGCGGTCATCGTATAATTTATAGTTAAATTTAATATTATTGGAATTCATATAAAAATTGTAATTTTATTTATTTAATATTATATTTTTATTTCAATTTTAGTTTATGTTTGGTGACGGTTGGATGAGTAAAATAAACGAAAGGCACCCTAGATTTGAATTAAAAACAAATTAAGATATAATACCATTGACTAATGTTTATTTTATATATAAATATAGCATATAAATAAAATTATATTTAGACATTGATCAATGAATTAGTGCATACATTTATTTTTAAAATAAGATAAAATAAATGAGAAATAAATATTATTGAACAAAAATGACGAGTGACAAAATTGTCAAAAGAAGATTCCCTCGAATCTTAGAAACCCATGTTACAGGAGGGCATATAAAGTTGCTCAGACGCCTCCCGTATAGACATCCTAGGATGTCCGGGCATCTAAGAATGTCTGGGAATCCAACATTCCTATCAAACAAACACAGACATCTGGACGACCATCCCATGAAACAAACGCCCCTAATTGTTAATATATATATATATATATATATGTAATTTAATGGTGGTTCGGTTTGGTTCGAGTTAGACCGAGAAAAAAACCTCCTAACTCATGAACCAAACCGAAATTTAATTTAAAAAAAATTCAACTCAACTCAAATCGAAAATTTTTCTAACCCAACCCAAACCTTGTCCGAGTTGTTCGGGTCATCGGATTTTTTGAACACCCCTATTTTTACTCTCTCTCACAGTTGATATGATTTTATGATAAAATATTATAAATTTATATTTAGTTTTAAATTTTTTAACTTTATTTTGTCATTAATAATTAATATCAATAGAATTTTAAAACATTATTCATGATTATTAAATATTATAATAATAAAAATTATTAATATTTTATATTAAATGAGGATGGCTATAATAAAAAAAATATTTTAGTGGATATAATTCATTTTAATTATTTATTATTCATTAATATTAATATTAAATAAATGGTTAGGATAAACAAAAATACTATCAATAATATAGCAATAAAATAAATCAAACTATATTATTGTTGTAATTAAAAAATTAGCACAACAATATATTTGTAATTAGCGAGGAAGAATAAAAATGTATACTAGCAATTGTCTTATATCCGATTCAAATTCTGATTCCAGACAGTTTTAGTAAACAACATGAAAGGAATTCTGATTTCGATTCCATAAAATTTTTGGTAAACAACATCAAAGGAACAACATTCTAATTTCGATTGATTTGATTTCTGTTGATGATGGAATTCAGCTACACGAAATTCTCTCGGGACCGTGCACCAACCCTCTAGATATGAAAAGGGACCAAATCAACTTGCAAAACGAAACTACCCTAAGACCGGTATGGCTTTACCACACGGAGCTCCGATGTCTAAGTTAGATTTTGATTATCAAGTATAGAGTATGGGAGTGTGGGATATGTTTTGCGTACCTCCTAGTCTTTGGCCTCCTCCCTATTTATAGTTGCTTAACTCTTATTCCTTTAGGGCTTGCAGGAGTCAAATTTAGGGTATTCGGTCCATTCGGGCTCTCGGGCCCGTATTACCTCCCTAGCCCTAATGCCTATTCTACACTTTTATAATCATGGAAGCAATTAATTTTCATTCACTTGCCTTTGCAAACAATTAATTTTCATTTATAAATTTAATTTTCTAACCATTAAAAAAAATTAAAATTAAAAAATAAAAGATTAATTTAGAAAATGAAAAGTCATAAATTTTGAAATGAAAGGTTTATGATGAATGTAATTTTTTTTAATTTCTGATTGGCCATTAATATTTTAGTTGGTAAA